AAAAAAAAAAAAAAAAAAAAAAAAAAGAAACCACCAACCATCAAAGCTTCTGCCAGCCCTTCAGCGATTGCGGCATCATCAAAGCCACCACCAGAAAAGGGTAAAGCTGAAAGCCAATGAAAGAACAGATCCATGTCCCTAGTCCAACCACTTTTCTGCACGAGACAAGCTGAATCACAAATAAATATGATAAGAGTGGGGAAAGTTCAATTAAAATTATTATTTAGTATTAAAAAAGACGATTGATTAATAGGAGAAAACACTAATTTTAAGGAGGTTTTGAGAGTGCAACTTAGGAGGTACTGAAATAATTCCAAATCAAAGGCATTGATCCTCATGAACAAATGAAAAGCAATCACAAAAAACCATAAGCTTAAGGCATCTGATAGAGAGAGAAAAGCGAGCAGAGCACACCTAAGGATGTAAACAATTGTTGCAGAGAAGGCATTAAATAAAATAATCTTGGTTATATTGCCCTCAACCAAATATTGAATCCTATGTTGGGGATCACACACTTCTCTCAACCAAAGGGCAGATTCAAAAGATACCCGCAATGCACTACTACCTAGGAAAAGAATGTAGACTTAGATTGGCATTGACCATAGTCCTTAGAGCTAACTTGCACTACATAAACAATCCATGCAGGTAAAAATTCTTGGACCAAGAGGGAAGTATGACTCGATTTATAAAGAAATACCAGCGTAACAAAGTTCGGCAACTGAGTACAACAACAAGTACGCACCACTGTAAGGGCCATGAGTATGGAACATGACTAATGAGAGCTCGACAATATCAGTAGATGGCTTCTGTAGAATTAGAATGAATTAAAATGGAACAATTAGAAATCAGGAATCAAAATGCGACGGTAAAATACACTATACATAATATGAAAAGTATGAACACGAATACCATCTCCTAGCACTGAACAATATAACTTGATGAAACAAAAGGTATGAATAGAGAACTAGGTTATTGTTACCTGATCAGACTGCTCGTTTCTGCAGAAACATCTGCAGATGTATGATAACAAAATCATTACGAGTTCTAAGAGCCAACATATTATGAATTATCCACACACATATTAGCTAAATTTTGAATTTCTTGAGCTGAGAATCCCTTTTCCTTTCCTACTTTCACCCCAAATGAACGCATGCTTACTCAGTACCACAATATATACCCAAGAAAAGAGGGCTTCTGCACCATATTTCAAATCACAAACTTCACACATCAAAAAGAAACGTCAAATGATCACCTTACATGTACCGACAATAACTAACCCAAAACACACACACACACACACACACACACACAAACACACACGCACACACACACACCCACACACACAAACACACACACACACACACACAC